AGGATTTCGATGATCAACGGGACGACAGGTGATACAGGTGATAGGTGATATTCTTTTAATTTACAGTTGATGATCTCACCGATTTGGAACATGCTTCCAAGCACTCACTGGATTCCATACATCCTCAGACTCGACGTCGCCGGGCAAACGCTGGAGCTCTGCGACAACTTTGATAAGCAGCCCGATGTACCTCAACCCCGACCCTCAGTAATGCACGGTCTGGTATTTTGATTCCTACAACGAAGAGAATTCAGGAGCAGGACCGACAGTTAGAATAAAATGTCCTGTTTTCGAATGAGATTTCGAAGTTTGATGTATGCCTTTCATGATGAGGTTGAGACGAAGTAGGCCAGGGAGCAGTACTCTACCCGCATGGTCCAGAGCTCAAATTTCATCCTGATCGGTTTCCCCCAAACCACTCAGCTTACAGCACAGACTACGTGCAGGCGAATCGTTGACTTCTGTATTCGTTTCTGGAACCGAAGCCTGTAAAGGTCAAATACGCATTCAAATGCTTCTACGATTATGATTGAAATGCCAACATCTTTACCTTCTCAAAAATAAAATTCAAAGGAAAGACCCTCAGCAAAACTCTGCCTAGCCCTCGTATTCCCATAATTGATATTCCGTTTGTTTCCGTTTCCAATGCACTGAACAGAAGCTCTTTCGAAAGATTGGATATGGTAAACAAAGCGTGTGGATGAAAATGTATTTGCAATCAGTAGGCCCCCACTGGTTACGGTATTTCTACCCAAATTCCCACGGTGAGCGGCAATGGTTTCACGACAGTTACCGTAATCTTCCTCCAGAACATCTGATTTCCCATTCAGCTAACCAAGAGCTGATCTTGGCTGGCTTCACTGCATGGCTCCTACTTTGTATGTTTGAGTCTGGGAACGTCGCAGAGAAATACAAAATAATGATGGGAACGTGTACCTTAACAGTTTTATAATGGTCTTCAAAATTTCGAGAAAGTTGGTCGAGAGCGATGTAAGTAGGTTATCGTTCGAGCGGTCACGGCTCCAAACTATAGACGCATCAAGTTTCGTGCTTTCCTCCAGCAGTTAGTTTGTTTGGCAACACCAACGGCTCAAGGCTGCATCCAAAATTGTAGAATCGTCCCTTGGACCTCCAGACTTCCCCACCTTCGAGGACCAGACTCCCGCAAAGCTCGTCAACATGCCGAAGTGGTAGGGACCTGCGGATCTGCCTCTCATGCAAGCAGAGCTGCCCACACGACCACCGTAGCTCAGAAGTCCCAGCATATCCTGCTGAGACTCTACAAATTGACTCGGCGAATTCTGCTGACTGGATTCTAAGCTCTTTCCCGGCGACACCACTTAGTGATGATTCGTATTCCGAACTGGTTGAGCCCGTTCAATCTCTCGAAGGGAGGTCGTAGAGAAATACAAAATAGTGATGTAGGGCAAAACTTTGATCCACCGTAGATTTCACTCTGCTGTCAACGAGCACTATTTAAACTACATATTGCATCATGGGACCACTTCTTTTTGTCCCCGTAGCTGCTGATCGAGGTGACGGTGGATGAAAAGTTTCAAAAATTTAAGTCGCTTCGTTTGAACACCTTGGAAGAATGACAATCAGCAATTTCTCGGGAAGTTAAATTTTTCTGTGCGCACAATTTTAAATCTAGTAATTATTCCAATACTAAAGAAGCTATAGCTACATATCGTTCAGAACTGATTTTAATTGTGGCTGGTGTGATTCACAAAATTCGCAAATTTATTACAGTGACAACAAGTTATTTACTTTGATTAGTGCATAGAGCACAAATCAAAGTAAATACCATGTGTTGTATCTCCGTACACAATTTATACCTAGAACGATGTATCGCTTTGACAAATGGCATGGAGATCCGTTCGCCATGCATGAGCAGCAGCAGGAATCGATTGGCAGTTTGCCCACGGCAACCGCGCTGCGGACGAACCAATCAATATTCCGTTTTAAACCTCGTTGTTCTCCCGACAGCGAGCATTTTACGCCTCACTTCTAGACTAGATCGGGATCGATTCTGTAGTTGTTTTTTTTTGTAAATTATGATTTCTCTGACGAACTCTCGTTCCCGACGAATTGCTCAGGCGTAGCTTAGCAATAGTATTACTCAAAACACATACTCTCATATCAAAATTACGTTCATTTGATCTAAACTATAATAAAAATTCATCTTCAACAAAATATGACAAGAATCCATATATTACAAGAAGAAATTCACATGAACTATACGATCACTTCCATTCTTGGAACACTGACTCGAAATCATCCAGAAGTGAAGCTCAATCAATGAATAACCTGAATTCTCAAAAAAAAAAACCCTCAAAGGCAGTAATCTACAAACTTAAGAGTAATAACAAATGGAAATAGCAACTTTCACACATAAAAAAGGAATAGAGAGAGGAAACAATGAATACCTAGCAAAATACTAAACAACTTCGACATTATCACTTATTATTATACGATATTGTAAAGGATCCGAAGTAATTACAAATAGACAACAATCTTGATCCAACTACTTCTAAGGATTTAAATTCAGCTGGCGATGCGGTGAATGGCTTTTTAGCTACGATTGTAAAAATGGACGATAATAGAAATATCTAAGAATAACTACGAATAATGCTTCAAAGCTATAAGCATTTCTAAAAAAAATACAAGAATAATAAGCACGATTCCCTAGATCTCATACTTAAGTGCTGTTCCATTGGAGACTCATAAACAACTTCAGGTGATTCGCTTTAGAGCTAGAACTATAAATGGACCCTGAAGGAAAAGGCAAAACAAACAAACAAAAAACAAACAGAAAATAATCGAAATACCCTCAAAAACAACATTCAGATTCCCGTATTTCAGTGGAAAATGAAAGAATTCGATGGAAGACTTTCACTCACCCAACATGTACCCTGATTTACCATAACATCAGTCTTTGCCTATGTAAATCACCACTCAATCACCGATATCTATCTTACAAAAGAAAAAAAAACAAAAAAAAAACAA